GGCTGGCTCTGCCAGAGCTGGGCCATGCTGGCTCAGCTCCTTACCTTGATGAGCTCAGCCCTCAGGACTGACGCCTTGTGCTTGGTGAGGTGCCCTGGGTCCGTAGCAGTATGGAGTCTATGTGACACGTGTCAACGGGGGCGAGGGCTCATGGTGGCAGAATGGGGATGGCTGGCTCCATGGCTCTGTAGCAGTGCGGGATCTCTGTCTGCCAGAGCTGGGCCATGCTGGCTCAGCTCCTTACCTTGATGAGCTCAGCCCTCAGGACTGACGCCTTGTGCTTGGTGAGGTGCCCTGGGTCCGTAGCAGTATGGAGTCTATGTGACACGTGTCAACGGGGGCGAGGGCTCATGGTGGCAGAATGGGGATGGCTGGCTCCATGGCTCTGTAGCAGTGCGGGATCTCTGCGGGCAGAGAGTAGATCCCTCCTTCCCATTGGCCCATTCAGGGTTAGAGTGGGTTGTTTGTGTGGGTCCCTGTGAGCCCCTGGCACCGCTCAGGTCGGACGGACGGACGCTGTAACGCTTCCTGCCCCGTGTTCCCCTCCAGCCCATTCTCAGCCCTTCTATCCTGGACCATCTCGAGTACAACCTGCCGCACACCTACGTGGAGATGCAGGTAGGCTGCCACCCACCGCTCCCGCCTGGCCCCTGGGCGCGGACTGACCGGCTCGCGGGGACACAGCGCCAGTTCCTCTTGGAGGCGCCAGCCTGGCCCTGGCTGGGGTTCAGGGGAAGGGTAATGGGATCCGGGTTGTTCCCTTTTGTGGGGAGGGCATTTGCATTGCTGGCTGGGTTCTGGGGGGGAACCTGGGTCCTGGGGGGGACCTCCTTTGACCACTGCTCCACTCCTCACAGTCCCTGCAGATCGCAGCCTTCCTCTTCACCGTCTGCCACGTGGTCATTGTGGTGCAGGACTGGTTCACTGACCTCAGCCTGTACAGGTGAGAGGGGCCCTCGCGGGCAGGGAGCGGGGCCCGGGGTCCTCCCCTCTGGGGCGCCAGCTCCCATCCGGGCCCGGGGCTACCTGGCTCGGGGTGAGGGGCAAGGGGCCTTTCCTCTTCTGGGAGGGCCAGCTCCCATCTGGCCCCAGGCTGCAGGCACAGCTGGCCCCTTCTACCTCAGCAATTCATGTGTGACTCAAGTGTGCCAGGTCTCAGCCCTGTTCTCCATCCATCCCATGAGCACTAAATGGCCTTAGGGACCCGGCCCCCTCCACACCCCCCACTAATTGCTGCTCCCCGTGTCCCCTGGCAGGTTCCTGCAGACGGCTGAGATGGTGAAACCCTCCACGCCCTCCCCCAGTCACGAGTCCAGCGGCTCCTCGGGCAACGATGAAGGCACAGAGTATTATCCCCACGTCGGTGAGCAGGCACGGCTCCTGCAGCACAGCGCCCCCTGTGCCAGCCCTGCTGGGGGGAGCCCCACCCCCAGTGCCAGCCTGGGCACCGGGCAGCCTTGCCAGGGAGAGCCCCACCCCCAGCACCAGCCAGGGCTGGCCCTGATGCCCAATCAGGGGCGGCCTCCAGCCTATCCCTGCGGCCAGTGTGCCCC